TTTTAATGGTTTCCCAATTAATCATCCTAAAGGTAGTCGTCACTACCACTGCGTCATTGAAAAAACAATGTGGGTGTGCCATCTAAGAAAACTCCGATGGTAACAAAACCCCTAGTTGTTACCTACCTTCCACCTACTTTTATAGTAAAAGGAAGGTAAAGTAGGTTCCAATTTGAATTAGGTGATAAGCATTCTTTGCTAAAATTGGTGGTCTAAATACTAATTGCTTTGTACCCTAGGTGAGGAGGCCCATTTTAATTTCAAAGTCAAATTCTACAGAATTGGTCTTTATTTCTTCTTGTCGAAAAGTGTCTGTGACATCGTGGCGGTCTGTGCTTCAGTGAAATTGATGTTATGTGGTGCGTGGTGGTGAGAGTGGATGATTGTAAGTTTTGGTAAGACACTGTTCTTATCGTATTATCAAAACACTCGATTAAGTCAATTTTTCAGTCACTTTTAAAACAGTTTGCCCTGTTTCGTATTGTGTTAAGGAAAAGTGACAACCATAAATTGGGGCACAGCAAATAGCAAATCACCCAGTTTCAGTTATCTCATCCCCCAATGCAAATAAACGTATTGGTTAGCCATGTCATTCCAGCATATTTACCATGCTGATTACACCTTCAAGGAATCCATCGAGTTACCCCACATGTTGGTCACAGACCCCATTTGAAATTGACGATCCCAATATTCATAAAATTTAGAGCTCATAAAACCATCGTGATCTTATGAGAATAAAACGTCACATGACTTATAAATGTAGGGTAGAGTAGTAGCTATGCATGCTTTTGGGACTAACCTACCCTTCTTACGCCGAAGACATTCGTCAGCATTGTTTGCAACCCAATCTACGTACAACATCACTAGGGCACATTTTATTGCGCCATAAAGAGAGAAGTACAGAGGAACAAAATAATGGTCTTGAAGAATTGCTTCGTATATATTGTGATGAATGAAAGTGGTGACCTCATTTCGTCGTTTTGCTTGAACGAAGTGTTCTCCTTTTTTCATTAAGTGCTACTGCAATCTTGTGTCTATCTTAGCCCTATCGAGTCCAAAAATAACTGAGAGACATGTGACCATCCAAATCATGATTAGGAGGATCTTCCTGATTGCAGATTGTTCAAATGAACTGAATCAGTTACGGTAAAACATCATCAAGTAATAAATCATTCTGCTACAGCATTATGCACCTTCTCCAAATGGCAACTACTTTTTTCGAAATAAAGCACGATTTATAGGGCACAAAGTTTAAACTAGGAGAGAAATGTTCAAAACACAGTGAAGTGCACTGTACCCCTAAACGAATATATGTTTGTATTTTGCGATGCAACTCTCTCACAAATTGGTATTGAACTAAACGGGAAAACAGTCTCACATATATTTTGACCATCAAATACCGTTTGCTTGTCCAACATCCTTTCAGAAGCCAATGCGTTAATTTTATGGCAATTGGTTTTAGGGTGCGATGGCATTCATATGGAAATGCTCTGCAGAAAACGTGAAAATAAAAGCCTAGGAAAAGTAATCCCAACATAATCGCAGAATTTGCATGGTATTAACTCCTTTTGGCACCCGACCTTGAGGCCAATTTCATTTCATTTAAATGCAGAAAAAGCAGTTTTGAGGTTATCTTGGAAGGTATAATGGAGAAAAACACGAGATGGTGGATGCGTACATTGACACTTATCCTGCTGTATTTCTACTTACCTACCTTCCCACCTTTTAATCTCCTTACATAGACTAAATTTAATGATAAGGGGTTATTCAGTTCGCCTAATAAGTCTTTGTGTTAACTCGCATAAGGCGACCCTCTTTGCATTAATACAATGCATTTTAAAATGCCTTCAAGGAAGCCTTTCTTGCGCGTTTTTTTTCTACTTTTATCAATTCAGGCTGTATCCGTGGCTTTGATATGCAACTTCGCGGTGGAAGGGAATTAGCCTTAAGGTTAATCATGTAGTTAAAATTGCTTAGTTCAAAATGGGTGCAAAGTCCAATAGAATCTCGCACAAACTAATAAACCACACACATTTTACCCTTTTGGACACCCTTCTTCCACGATATTTTTTGCTACCATAAAGAGCAAGAGATCCTGCTGGCAACGATGAACCTACATTGGCCATCATAATCAAAGTAATGGGCAAATAGCATACTGCAAACATAATACTTGTACCTTCATCTTCCTGATTTAGCTTACAAATGATGTGCATGTCAGAGAGTAAGGTCCAAAATGCGCGACACGTAAAAAGAATACTAAGTTAGTGTTGTATACTTGTGCACTGGAAATAGAAGACAAAAGGAACGAGCGGTGCCTGGGAAAGAACTATTGTTTAGGAACACGTTGAATGTTACAAGAATAGCAAGGAATTACGTGGTAGGAGTACAGATAGAAAATGGTGATGCAAACAATGCGCTTAATAAGCTCCAATAAACATCCTGACAAATAAATGGTTTACGTGCCGAGATATGTGCTTCGCATCAAATTATTAACCAACTGTTTGCAAGTGCCTTGTGTGCGAGTAAGGTGCATGCCAGTGCGTGACATTCAAGCTTCCACAAAACAGACCCACTCCACCGCTACGTAAACACCGACATAATCCACTCCCAACTTCGTCGCACATCCATCAACATCCCAACCATGGTGAGAAAACCTCGACACAGACAGCTTTGTCGGCATCACCGAACCGTGCCTCATTAGTCAACACATCCTCCTCATTGGCCGAATCTTCTGCATTGTTCCTATGCACCAACTCCTCCCACTACCCACCGTCGACTCACCAGTTCACCAACCCTACGCACACACACACATTTCCGCTTGGCTGTGCCTCTTTGTCATTGGAGCACCTTCTTCTTGCCAAACTTCCTGCCAACTTACTCACCTGTCAGGTGTCATGCCTTGACGAGGCGAGGACCGTAGTCGCACTTGCCGTGTTTGGCATCATTGCTGGTTCGCATCACTCCACCTGGTCAGATGGTGTGTGATTGTGCACGTAGTCACGGAGTTGAGGGTGTGCGCGAAGAGTTGTGTAAAGGTGCAGAGATAGTGGTGCAGTACGAGTTTGCGTTCACAGTGAAGTTTGATTTGCCCTCATACACGGTTGGATGGCGCCAGACATTGCTATTACTACCTGCCATCTTGACTAATGGCACTTGAACCCGTTCACTATCTGTGTACAAGTTAAGGCTTGCAGTTTTAGATCACATTCTTCTAGTCGTAGTAGTACTGCAAAATAATTGCATATTCTATGTAACGAACGCTAAGTATCTTTAGGTACTTACATGTGTTGCGACAGTGCCTCGATACTCTTAAGTGTCACAGGGTGCGTCAGCCATTAGTAAGTTATATAGTGCTTTTTAAAAGCCTCCAAAGTAACACATTTAACCCCCTAGGAGTATTCGATTCCTTGTATGAAGGTGTTGGTATTCTTGTAGACCTATGTCGGAAACGCCAACCTCTGACCTTTGAAAGACTAGCACTAATTTGATCTCTTTAAGGAAGTATATAAAAAATAAAACTTCCCATTTGCTAACAATTTACTGGAGATTTAACAGAACTCAAATGGACTTCATACTTTATTTCGATGTTGGGAATTTTAATTAAATCACTTTGAAGTGTGACTGAGTTCCTTTCGAATTCAAAATTTTTGGAGACTCAAGCAGAGATAAATAGCAGAATCGTGGGCGCAGACCACACTATGCTAAAGAAGTTGGTGCTGCAAGTAGTCTGAAAAAGTGATCGTCAAAACCCCGCCCCAATACACGGTTAATGAGCTGTGTTTCGGACTATTAAGACTTAAGTCACGATGGAGGAGATGTGTGCTACCCTTGTTAAAATCTTTAGCACGTTGGGCGGTCGCCAGATAAGGCGGCAACAAGGCGTACCTGCATAACGCAGAGGAAGTGGATAACAATGCATTGATAGTTTTTAAAGGCGTACTGTCTGCTAGTAGTTAGTGAATGAAACACTATTCTGCTTCTCAGTCTCCCTTTTCGCCCTCTTCAGCTGATTTAAAATTCAAATGACAGCACGTACTTCCTTGATGCCAAAAGAGTTTCTTATAGAGGATGGCACATCAAAGTGCCTTATAATCATGCTTAAGTCGATAAAATCAAAAATGAGAGGCAAAAAGGGTTATCGAACACATATGAAAAGGATTGGATTGGAAGTTATCCCTTAAGTCAGGCCTGTTGTGCGCCACTATGTGGGCATCCATAACATCAAAGGCATTTAGCAAGCTAGATGGACTTATTTTAATGAATCACCTCGAATGCCGCAGGAACCACCAAATTATCCTACTTGCCATTCAATCTCTACTTGACTACTCCTTCTGTGCTGATTTCTCCTAACCATTGAGCAGAAAATTCGACTTTCCTGCATTTAGCACAACTAATTAGTCCAGAATCCAATTTTCTGGTAAAAAGGAAACAGAACTGTTCACCTGGTCCTTGCTAAGGCATGAGAAAAAGGTCGAAAATTTTTGATTTAAGAAAGGAATTACTATTGCTAAGGAGAGGTCTGTCTGTGGAAGCTTTTGAAAAGACCAATTCGCAGCGCAAAGCCGTTAGGAATTCATAAAACTTCATCATCATAAATAACGATAGAACGGAAAATCTGCTAACTGTTTAAGGCGCTTCTGAGATGAAATCATGGCAATAAATAATGTATACTCCGCATAAGCAACTCAGGTAGGAAGAGAAGTTTTACCATGATTTTCACTTCGTGCAAGAGGAAAGTTTTGAGAAATTATATGTTTAGTCGTATAAACATGAAATTAGCCCTCTTAGTGCATAAGTTTTAATCTCTTAAAAAACATGTTCTCCATCGGGTAAAATTACAGTAGGAAATTCATAATGTAATGAGACGAAAGATTCGATGGCATTTTTTACCCCTCTTATATGCTGAAAGGAATTGCAATTAAACCTCCAGCTACCTTAATTTTGGGACATATTCAGGAAGGAGTAAGTTTGACATATTTTCTTCCGTCAGCTCCTTCGCTCTAGTACTTTCTACTATGGATCGAATCTTTGTCTTGCCAAACACTTACCTGCTGAGTGTCAATACCTTGACACGGTACTCCACCACCTTGTGGCGGAGGTCGGTTGCAAAGGCGAATTCTACGACGACTTCCACGTCCACAGGTTGCATCACAGTCGGAGAAGGCGCCCCATTCACCCCATCCACCAGCAATGCGTGGACAAAGACGTTGTAAAGGACAATCACGCTTCTGAAGACCTTCCGCCGCTCTCGCTGGATCGGCACAACTGCCCTCAATCGCTGCAATACTAGCAGATGTGTAAGCACCGCTGCAGGGACGATAACGACTCCTCTCTGACACTCCACAGGTGGCAGAACATGCAGACCATGAAGTCCATGAAGCCCAAAAGGGCTGACACTCTCCAAGCCTTAGTGCTTCATCACAATTTTTTGTTTGCTGAATTAAGATAAAATGTGCAGTCTGTAAAATCCTGAAGTGTTGCAACTGCAAACGATTGCAGATGCGAGATTTGATTATGGAATTTGTGGTATTATTGTTAAGCCTATCACAATACCTATCGCTGTAGAGAGCAGAGCTGCAATTTTAAAGCGTCTTGTAAGCGTGTAAATAGGATGACACTGATCTACTATTAAGGAGTTGGAAAGATTTTCATTATCGTCTCATTGAAAATAGTAATGCAATTTGAGAGAAGGCAGTCCAATTTGCATTTGAAAGTTACTCCCTTTTCCTTACTCACTTTATTTGGGATTCATGCTCAAACTTTTCTGACAAATTCTAACTCCTATCTTCTGTATAAAATAAGTCAAGTTTTGATGCGACATTTGTGGAGGGTTGCTGATCTGATTAGGCGGACGCAAATCTAGAATTTCACAATTTGAGTGTGACTGTGCATATTCAATACGTTTCCCTGATTTGCCTTTAGTGCAACAGCACTTTCACCAGCAGCAGGACAGGAAGGACTTAACACTAAGGTAGAGCTAGGTCAAAAGAAGGACAGATTAAATGACAGACAGATTTCAATGTTGAATGCTTGGACATCGTGTGTATCCATGCTAGTAGCACTAATTGGAAAGAGAAGAGAGTTCTGTCTAAATCGTTCAGGTGGTTTGTTTCCGAAAAGGCGGCGCAACTCCTTTACTCGTAGCTATGTACCATTTTTATTTTCGCTCAATCTCTTGATTTCCTTACGCATTATTCTCATCATATTCAATGTACTAAAGTCAAATTGTTGAATTATGAACCAAAATTCGGAAGCAGGAAAAAAATGTCTGTGTGTGTAACTTGCTCTTTGCCAAGCGTATTTGCTCTACTGTTCATTCCTTTTGATGAACACTCATGACTTATCGCCAGTCAAGAGTAAGGATTCTAAATGAGGAGGCACTTTGGTCAATTAATCGCATCGCTTTGTGGACCATTTCATGAATGTATAAGAGAAAGGACGCAGCTCTTTTTGACAGGAAAAGTATCAAAGAATAGCACTTAGTGCGGCTCTTTCCAGCTTTAATTTCACAAAAGAAAGAATAAGACCGAGACATCTCTAAAACTATACCAAGGTAGCTGCAAAGTTTCCCAGTGGTGTAAACGATGGGCTGACAAATAATTTTTTAATAATTGCAATCCTAACTTTATCCTAAATTACATGGCAGGAACAAAAGCAACTTTACTGCTTTAATTAACAAACCTGACCACATTCATACGTTTTTCGGCAAGATGCATACTTGCTCTAAAAATTTAACTTCGTGAAACATTTTTCCTTTTTTAAGAAAAAAGCGATCTAACATAGAAATGTATGATCAAATGCAACTGTATGCTTTAAAGGATGAAAGGATACGGCATTATATTTCCGCCACTTTTTCACCATTTTCCCTGTCTCTTCATTCTTCCTCTTTTCCTTACTCCGAAAAGTTCTCCTTCCCGACGTAAGAGTTTGCAGTACCATGCTTCTGCATGACTTTCTTAGCCCTGTTAAATGCTTCACACAAGTCTACCATGCACACATTTATTTTCATTTTAGAAGATCTCATGATACTTCCCACCGGAAGTCAGTCAGTTGTCAGACAATTAGTCCGCAAACATACTAAAAACAGGCCATTTTATAGGCTCGGTTAAGCACATAGCATCGCAAATGTACGTGACACCCAAAACATTCCTTTACATTATTTAAAACGCGTCCTAAGACACTTTCGCCAAAGAAATCCACAATGTGATGCAACAATTTTTGCCATGATGGAGAATTGAGAAAAATTATGCTCAATGTTGTAACAGTCCTAGTCACTATAATTGATGGTTCCAAAAGGAAACTTTACCGAGGTAGTTACCTCTCCACTAGCCTTGCTACATGAGTTAAATGCAAGACGGAGAATTGTACAGAATAAATGAGAATGGCCAGACAGTAACATGCACTTTGTGCTTTATAATTCGATGCGACAAACCGTAACAAGAATTTGAACCTGACTGGAAATTAGTAGAGCAAAAGAAACCCAATGGTGAAGTTATAAAAGTTAGTGGTGATGCAAACAATGCGCACGATAGGCTTTAATAAACATCCTGACAAATAAATGGTTTACGTGCCGAGATATGTGCTTCGCATCAAATTATTAACCAACTGTTTGCAAGTGCCTTGTGTGCGAGTAAGGTGCATGCCAGTGCGTGACATTCAAGCTTCCACAAAACAGACCCACTCCACCGCTACGTAAACACCGACATAATCCACTCCCAACTTCGTCGCACATCCATCAACATCCCAACCATGGTGAGAAAACCTCGACACAGACAGCTTTGTCGGCATCACCGAACCGTGCCTCATTAGTCAACACATCCTCCTCATTGGCCGAATCTTCTGCATTGTTCCTATGCACCAACTCCTCCCACTACCCACCGTCGACTCACCAGTTCACCAACCCTACGCACACACACACACATTTCCGCTTGGCCGTGCCCCTTTGTCATCGGAGCACCTTCTTCTTGCCCAACTTCTGCCATCTTACTCACCTTGACGAGGCGAGGACCGTAGTCGCACTTGCCGTGTTTGGCATCATTGCTGGTTCGCATCACTCCACCTGGTCAGATGGTGTGTGATTGTGCACGTAGTCACGGAGTTGAGGGTGTGCGCGAAGAGTTGTGTAAAGGTGCAGAGATAGTGGTGCAGTACGAGTTTGCGTTCACAGTGAAGTTTGATTTGCCCTCATACACGGTTGGATGGCGCCAGACATTGCTATTACTACCTGCCATCTTGACTAATGGCACTTGAACCCGCTCACTATCTCCGCTTCGGCGAACGCACACATCTCTACGGGAATGTCAGGGCTGGCTCTCTGGCCTTTTGTAACTTTATGATGAAGTATCTTGCATTTTAGTAGGCTTTTACCCAACCTGATAAGCGCCGTTGGTTTTACCGTCGACGCCTCCATATGGCATAATTTTTCAACTATATGTTTCGTAGCTGTAAAGAACGTTTTGAGATGCAATCAAGTCCGTTCAGTGTTTCGAAGCGAAACCTCCAACTTTCAAGCCATTACACTTTTGGTGACATTTTGTTCTCTTTTTTCACTTCTTTAAGCGAATATAATTAATCCATATTGAATCATTTAATTTTAGCCCTAGACACAAACAGTAACATGGAAAACAATCTGAAGATAAATGGATCGAGTGGGATTGTAGTATGCTTTTTCTTTTAATTACTCATCTTCGGGGAAATTAGAACTTGTTTATGGCTTTTCTAAGTGAAAAGAATGTGGGTCGTAACGACAAAAGTGACAGTGATATTAAGCTAAACTCTTTAATTAAAGAACCATTAGAATTGTCAGGTCTATTAATAGTGTTTAGTTTGTAGAGTTAGAAAGCATCCTTATTAAAGCTTTGTTTCTTCCCCTTTGGGCTAATCAAGACACGGTTTTACAAACTGACCCAATGGATCACCGTAAATATTACATCTTACACACCAATAATCCTTCCTCATTCGGTTTAGGTTTTGATTAAAATTGTTTCTAGATTAAAGCCAGGCTTCTAAATAGCGCATCGTTTGCAACCGTCGAAAGAGTGATTTTCACTTCGTCTCTCTTTTCAATCCGCTGCTAAAAGCCAAACAAACTGTACAAAAATAATCCTGTGAAAAAATGAAACCACAATAAGGCGATCAGATGGGTATCAGTCTAATCAGTAGTCCATTATATTACTGCTGAGGGGCCCATGCATTTGTGTTTTTTAAGCTGCTAGGGCATGGATACGATTAAGCTAAAAGCAGTTCCAGGTTTTTACTTTTGGGCGCTAATTGGTTTCTAAAAAAGGAGATCAATTTATCAGTGCACCCAAATAAAAAGAAAAATTTTAGGAAATTATGACGACACTTAAGTTCCATGTACCAGCAGTTCGGAGACAAACAGCATGTTTGCGTTTATTCGCGCTGTTTAGGAAGTTAAGTTTTTCTCCATCAGACTGAATTGTTTCGCGGTGACATTTTGACCTTGAAGTTTCAGAGTTCGATGTAATTAATTACATATTGATGTGCTAAGCTATCAATATGTAACTAAGCCCGTAACTACAATTACCTCCGCAAAATGTCAACGAAAATCAGTGCGTTGGACACTCTAGCTATTATGCTATTCTTAAAGCAGATGCACTGTTGCATTCAAAACTCAAGCTTTTAAAAGTATTCATGCTTCTGTTGAAAAATTTAAACAGTGCTTAGAGAACAGTAATGTGGGCATTCTAGCATAACTTGCCTTAAATCCAGGTAGAGAAGTGCATTGGCTGCCTTCAACGCAGTTTCCCTCTGGGCATTTGTAACGCGTAGCCACCTTGTTAGTGCATTTTCCAAAGACTCCAGGACACCGCCACGGTCCCCACCCCGATTTCTCTTGACAGTGAGCCGTCAGGTCCGCTTTAACTACTTGCAGCACCAATGAAAAGTAAACTAACGCGTCCACCGAGCTGAACGTTATTCTGCTCATTACTCACCGATAGCAAGTGGCTATTGATTATTGCATACGATACCGAAAATCAATATTGCAAGCGTTGAGCAACGTACACGATATTGACGATGATGTCGGTGATCCTTCTACTTCGAGCTTGTGTGTCCTGATTGTTAAGAACACTTGGCCATCAATGAAAGTCAGAAAATTTTGTCATCGTGTGTGCACTAATCTTTAGGCGCTGGAATAAATTTGGAAATGCCCATGGGCTGAAGATGACAGTATTCCTTGAAGTACAAGTGTTACGGTTGTCTCGAGCCTAACGACATTAAGATTCAGCACAATTTAGAAACATATTTGGGAAGGGACGTAAGGCAAGCACCAATTTAATGTCACTTTTTAAATCGCAAAAACATTGTGTCTGCCAATAACGTCCATTCGAACTTCATTTTACTGCATGCAGTTAAATTTTGCTACCGTTCTTGAAATAAGTTCACATTCCTCAACTTAATAAATTATTGCTTTGTTTAAAACAGTTACTTCAAAACGAGCCCAATGAGAAATTTTTAAAAGAACAAATAAAAAATTACTTACGGTTTTGTTTTTTCGTGGCATACCAAAAGAATAATTTTAGATGCCTTTAGTCCTCTCCTGCAAGTATCCTGTGTACTCGTTTGGAAGGTGTTATTAGTTTTTGTACTTATAAAACATGAATTAACACCACTCATTTTCACTGCCCATCCCGTCATGGAGGAGGTGTACGAACTGAGACAATTAGTAATATTCCACATTCGCCCTCTAGTTAGACCCGTATGACCGCAAGATCTCTTTGAATGTAAAAGTAGACGTAATACTGGACCAGAATGCATAATCGTAGCAACTAGACAAGGCAGCTGAGCTGCTGGGTCAGCCCGCAGACATGCTCACTCGCCTAAGACACTATGGTTACTCAATCCACTGCAACCAGAATCAAAAGTCAAAGAAACGAAGCGGTAGAAAACCAGCGTGAGTAGCTCTGCCTTTTGATGTCACTTTCGTGTAAGATTTACAGCTTCTCCTATTTCGGAGTACTTAACTAACCGAACAGCTGGTAGATTGAGAAGGATTTGCCATATGGCACGGTATGGTGCAAATGATTGCCTACCCTTCCCAAATGCGATGAAGAGGATGAACAGAATCTCTCCAAATCAGACATTAGATTCATTCGTTGTTGGCATCATAAACCAACCATTCTGTCTTCAACCTACAGTCCTTCCTATTTAACCAACAAAGGAGGTTGTTTTGTTAACTTAGAAATAGCAAAAAGTTGCTATCAAGCGGAAGTACGGAGGAGTAGAAGAAACTTTTCCGGTTGCATCATTGAATGGTTGGGTAATGGCACTGTCCATCTGATTTTCTTTAAGATGGGATCTTTACTGGCAGTGGGACAAAATTTGGTCCTTAGCCAAAAGCCCGAAACTCTTGACACCTTAACAGTGTTGAAGGTCATAGGTGTCAAATTCCCACTAAAACTGCATTAAACACGGTCATAATTATGGGTGACCTTAACTAGTTGCATGGCCCTAGTAAGGGACTCCGAAGATGAGAAATCTTGACAAAATTTTATGAAGTATAATGAGGGTGTCGACTACGTGATCAAGTTTAATGCATGTGAGACCATTTTGACGGCTTCATTAAGGCCTTGGTGCCACCTTACATTGCGTCTGTTTCCATGCCGTGGAAGTTATTTTCAATCTTAGGCTTCTCCAGCGCTCAATGTGAGAAACATGATTTTGGTGTCTTATTCACTCACAAGAAGGCTTCCGCTCTTTGTCGAAGGAATTTGGTGCTCATCTTCATTCAACTGTCGACGGACAGAGAGACGATAGAGACTGTTGACCTAAACAAGTGGTAGTCCTTATCTGCTCACCCTAAGTTCTCCATCATTCCACTTAATTGGCCATCTGCCGGAGGCAGCACTTACCTTCACTCTTTCTAGTATGATTTTGATCGGATTTGAGTGAATAGCTGTCATTCATTGAAGGTGCATGAGCGAGTGTAGATGTCCTTGTCCGAGGCAGTGTCTGCCTCAGTGGTATGGGCTAATTAGCAGATGACTTGTAGGCACACAATGTTCCCCATTCCCCTAGAAATAGGCCCAACAGTCAACAATCGTTGGCATAAAAGCTACAAAGAAAGGAGTCGTGGGCAACTTAATTGTTCGCCAACTTTGTTGTCATTCATTGTCAATGGAGTGGCAGCCTGATTTGCATTCCTTTCCCGCTCCATGTGTGTGTGTGTAAACAAATGCCTCATCCCTGCAGAAGCCTCCGCCCTCCTGACGTGTTCACAATAGTGCCAAAATTGCACTTTTTTTCGCTCCTGTCGACCCAACTAATAGGATATAAACTAAAAAGACAAAAAAACCTTATTTCGGTTTGCTCCTATCTTGCAGCATTCTTTCTTTTATTAAAATTACCCAATGCCTGTTTCCCTTCCTCTGTCTATTCACTTGAAACTTTACTTGTGTCGAATTTTGGTAATCGTTTGAGCTAATTTTGTACCAATTTTGTAACTACGTGATTTTTTTTAAATATCCCCTCAGGGGTTGAGAAAGTGGCGACCAAAAAAGGCGAATGAGTTGGTTACTACCAGAAGGTGGTTATTTTTTGTTGCAAAAAATATACACTCATAAGTTTACACACAAATGTGTGGAGCCATTGCAATGTGAAGATGTCGAAATGAGTGAATGTACAACTCGAGAAAAGGTGGACGTGTCATTGTGTGACCTCACGTGCACTCAATTGACCCGAGCCATATGACATCGCTTGTCATGCAGTTAACACCACTCCCATGAGCATTGACACGGCTCATCAATCCGCATTGCCGGTGGGGCACAACGCTTTTACGCCTTTGCTAGAGGCACTTGTCATTCAGGGTGACATTTTGGGGTTAGAACGGCGAGGAGGAGGCGAAGGAGACGCGGAGGTTTAGTCCCATCAAGGCATTTTTCCGATTGGACAATGAAACGATTAACCGAAAAACAAGTTGTGTCTCTGTGTAGTAAAAATGGAAGACCTAAAAGCGTTCTGTAACTAACATAACTCGTAAAATATGGGCGCAGCGTCGGAGAATTGGCTTTTTATCCCTCGCATGCTGTAGTGCATTCTGCTAGTCCTCACAGAGGCGAGATGGTCAGACCCAGCCACGGTAATAAGAAGGAGCTAAAAAAAGGAGGAGTCGTTTGCAAAATATATGATAACTAAACATAACTTTTTTTTTTGATCAAATAACCTCACTTTGCTCGACTCTGACTGCTACGTGATTCTTCAACTCCTTCTGCCTCCTCGTTTAGTTCAATCAACAGAAACGCGAAGAAGGAGGGAGTTTAAATGACCTTCCAATTGATTATCTGATTACTCCTCCAACACCGGAAATCTGCACCTCATTTAAACACAAATCGGAGGCGGTTTTTTGAAGCATCATTAATTACTTCCGTGTTTGTGACATCAAACCAATATTTTCTTGAAATGCTTAAAGGCATTTTCAAACACCGATGATAAGTTGACGCTGCAGTCACATAAAGATACCGTTTTTTTTTGAACCAACAGGAGAAAAGGACAGGGGAGGTGGATAGATGTGGGGGAATCTGACCCACTCTCCCCTTCCCTCCTCCCCCCCCCCCGGGTTTTTTATTTTTAGGCTACTAGAATGTGCTTAAATTCTTATTTGTCACAGGTGTTAATGCTTTTGAGGTCAGGGGAAGTTAACTTGAGATGATTGACCTCACTTGGAGGTTATTCGTAGGTCCAACCAAATTTTTATGTCCACTTTGATGGTTTGGTGGTGGAAGAAATGGAGATTTCATTAATTGGCCTCATGGAGGGCTTTGCAGTGTGCTGAGTCAGATCGAGGAATTATTTTTTGTTTAATGTGTAAAAAATTTAGCCATTAATAAGTGTCCCTTAACGTAATGTCGTCACGCTTTACATTTCCATCTCCCTTTTTCGGTGGTGTAATGGGGAGGGAAGGTAGTGCCATTAGAGGAAAGAAATCTAAGAGGTCAAAATCACATAAAAGTGTTGCGATTCTTTATTGTTTTAGTGAAATTTGAGTAATGAAGGCTTGACAAATTGAAGTTGAGTCACCACAACTGATTGAAGGACAATTGGTGGAAGTCCACACCGGAGACTCAGTACCGCCAAGGCAGAATAATGCCACCGGAAGCGGTCGTGGGGAGGAGTTCAAAGGGAGAGGGGAGTAGGCAATAACTTGCTGCTTGATTTCATTTATACTTAATCACGTGGGTGCTTCAATCGGCAGTTTGTACTTATCTATACCTCTCCAGCTCTTTTGTACTTTAATAATAAATTCTCTTCCCTACCAATGCGGACAATAGAAAATAGAGCAACTAAAATACACCCCCAGGAAGGCAGAATTTTCCATCTGACTTGACTTCCATAAATAAAAGGCAACAATCTAGTGACCGAGAAACTGTGGCCGAAGAGATGAGAGGGCTGATTTGATTTCCCCCACTCGCTCTCACCAAGTCAAGGCTGAAAATCGAGGTCTTATTCACAATTTCAATTGAAAATTTTTGTGAGTAATCGCTTACTTAACCAACTTTACAGCGAAAAAAAAATATTTCTCATCGCATGGAAATAACCCTTTCTCACCGATGCCTTTTTGCAAGGCCTTCAAAGGTATTTATTTGGCTTAAACGCTGGCATTTCCTCCCAACCAAAATGTGGATGTCAAACAACTGCTTCGTCTGTCTCACCGAAGCTGCAATCGCACCACATTTCGAGGCAGCGGACCTACCAAAGTCAACTGATCTTCCTTCTGATAGGCGAGAAGAGACAGTAAAGGAGACGCAGACGAATCCGCTTTTATGGCGGCAGGTGCGCCTCCTCAAATCCTTTACATCCCCATAAAATGAGGTAGTAAATTACAATTAATGTTTGAAGTAAGTGACTTGGAGGTGAGTAAATAAAACCGCATAGTTACTTGGTACAATTGTGTAGAAAATCGGAGCCAAAATTATTGGCTGAGCATAAATCATCTAAACAAAGATATTCATCAATCGCATTAGAGAGGTTGATTTTTTATGTACAAATTTCCACCTACAACAAATTCACATATCAAAAAAAAATTAATTACAAAGGGAGCATGTGATGCCCTCCACGTCTAGATGACTTCAGACGTCTCACCCTCCACAGTACGAATCTGTTTGGACTGGCATCTCTCGACGAATAAAGGAACAAGGTTTTTGAGTAAGATGGAAACAAAATATCACATGTCTTATCCTCGAAATTTTTGTTTTAAATAGGTTTGACATTTTGAGTTGGTGCAGAAGAAAAATGTTGCCTAGCCTTCATCCTTGTCCTCCTACTAGTCTAATTGGCGTGAGACTACAAGTCGTGCCTTTCCAAAAAGCACATAAACATCAACTATCAGATAAATGTAATTTGAAAATAGGAAAAATATGAACGTGACACTTTATTGTGTGAAGATAAGGCAACATAAACGTGGCGAATTTAATCCTATCGGTTGCTTCATTGCTTTGTATGCGTCGAAATTTGATCTCTGTCAAGTCCACAACCCATTACTATTTAAACGTAAAAATCGAAAGCACTTAAATATGACAGAAAAGTTCTTACTCAAATAGCTACACATTTTCCTTATTTTTAAAAATGCATCCTCACTCCACAGTGCTTGTAACACAATGACTAACATTGCTAAGAGGAGTGCACGCTTTCCTTCTGCCTTCCAGCAGAAGTGCCTGGCATTACTAGTGTCTCCACTAGTTACTTAAAAATTAATGCATTTTTTGTGATCAGTGTTTGCATATTTCCCAACTATCCCGCCTAGCCGGCTGTAAGAGGAAGATGCTGAACCCTCAATTGCCCACCGACCAATGAAAATCGGCTAAATGGTCAGCCAATCAGCAGCCAGCATCGGTTGTATGGTTTGGTCTACGGACATAAAGTTCGAATGCTTTTCATTATTACGGTATGACCAGTTTAGAGGAAGTAGGCAATGCGTTTCCCAACTGTTCACTATACTGGGACAGTTATGTTAGCGTTAAATTCCTGGAAACATGTCAGGTAGATCGACTGGAACCGATTGTGTACCCCAGTTTTGCTCGCCTTTATGTCTCCATTTCTCTCTCCGTCCTTGGCGCCTTTTTTAATCTTTGGGCTCTCATACTCCTCCTGTTGGACTATCACAGTTCCCACTTAAAGTACAATCAATCAAAAATTCATTCAAAAATCTCAACCGCTGGAACAAATCACAAAGTTCAACACACTAGCTCGAGGCGAACTACCATGCAAATCGGACTCATCATATTCTGCCTTTTTGAAGTACTTTACCATGCCGCTTCTTCTAGTGGTGAAGTGATCAATCTCATTACATACGATAAGATAAAAAAGGGATCCCTTCCTGTCCCTGTTCATGGAAGGCTCACGTATATTTACTCGGTACTACCTCAGGTGTGCAGCTTTTTCAATTGGATTCGAGACACGGGAATTTGTGGCCGCAATTGGGCAATCACATTAATCACAATTGCAAGAGCCGAAGTGGTCATTTGGCCACTTGCTTCACGTTGTTATCAGAGATGTTTACGGCAAAAACGCTTCTTCCTCCTTGTGTTTGCTTTGTTTGCTCTCACCGGTCTATTTATATCGGGAGCACGTCGATTTGATCAGAAAATTAGTGTCTGTTACAGCAAGCGGCTCTCCTCCTATTGCGTCTTTTCAGAAGTCTTCCTTCTAGCAAATTTTAAACAATTTTCTGCTGTCTACTTCTCCTTTCAAACCCTGCTTCCATGGATGCTGATTTTAATCTTTACAACTCTTATCATCTTTCAACTTAAGCCATGCAAAAAGCACACAGAAAATTCAATCCGTCGTCCAACTAGTAAATCTGGAGGCAGAGACAATCACCTTCGTGCTTCAATTGCAGTAACCGTTATTGCGGTATTCTGTACCATATTTGAATTTCCAACATTTGCTCTCTCAATGTACTACATTGCGAGTGATCCGCATGAAGCCCTTGAGCTGTGGGATACAATTGCAAATACTCTCCTTCAAATAGACTCAATTGCCAACTTCTTCCTCCTCATCATCACTATGCCATCGCTACGAAGACGTCTGCGAAAAGCCTTTCCAGCACACGTCCATTCGAGGGAATTTAGTGCACCCGAGCCCCGGACTATTGTTGCAGACTCGGACATTGTGTCCAAGGCTAGAGACTGAAGTTATTTCCTTTATTAATTCACTCACTCTTGTAAATATTATCTTATAGTTGAAACACTTTTCTGCCTAGCGTTGACACTTTATCACCTCTATTGTTATTGTTGTCATGTGTGTGTGTGTGTGTGTGTGTGTGACCTTTTACTGCGCTCAAATAATGTGATTCGGTGGAGACACGCAGTGATTCCTCCCCACTGTACATTTTGCCCATTAAATACGCACTTTTCACTTAATTTGAAAATTTCTCTTTTTTAAATACTTTTCCTTATTATAGAAATTCTGATAGTTACATGGCAGGAATAATTTGACCACTCCTAGGCAGATATTATCATCTGGATGAAAGTGCTATAGCCTTACAGGCAGTGCTCCAAAGCAGACACAACTACTTCCAGTCTACTTTTACCTCTCAGCCGTTTTGTTTTTTTTTAACATTTCGATCCCAGCAGAAGTCGGTGGGACTCATAGCGTGAAAAGGGGCTCAGAGAAGCACAGAGGGTACGAAGAAGGTGGGGTGTTAAGGCCTTGCTTTCTCTTCCTCTCCTCCTCCTCTTCCCTTTTGCTATCTCCTCACTCTGCAGCGCAAAGTTGCAAATCATTGAATCTCCCTGTAGACAGTGTAAGTGGTCGCAATTTCGCACCGACTTGCCCACTAACTTTTATTTTGGTGCCCAAGCCCAAGACTATGACAACAAAATTAGCGTAGGCGGTAACTGTGGCTGTTTTTTTTTCTCATTCTTTCAAGTAATGAATGAGGGTAGGCGAAAGCCATTTGTCTATTCAATGCGTTTAATGAGTCATCGAACCTTCGTTTTCCATTGGTGATCAAAACAGTCGAAGAATAAGTGAAATACAAAATTTAATCTAAAGACACTGCGCCGTCCAGCAACTTATTAGTCAAGACGATAGTAGACTTTAAACAGTTTTAAATCATTCCCTTTTATTTTGTTTAAGATTATTTCAAGCACTTAGTAGTAAAATTATTTGTAGAGAGCAGTAACTGGAAGGATAGGCCGATCAGACATTGTCAGATAGTGCTATACGAAGGAATTGAGGGATGCCTAATTGGAAGGCCTCACTGATCTCCTCCTCTCGTGTCTGCCTTTTAACGACTACTTATACTCCTTCTTTTGTCGACAGAGTCAATTATGAGGGGGAATGAAATCTACTAGATAAGAGGCTCAAAAGGCTACTCATATTCAATTTTTAGCTGAAAGTATTACTAATAAAATCATCTCATTAATTTGGACGATGTGACTCAGTGAAAATTTTCGGAAGGTACATAAAAATTAAGTAGTATCATCTATTAGATGCAATTTAAGGCACAATAAGTCAGAGATTCTCAGTATACACAAAAATTGGCATACGATCGCCATTGCTTCCAACGTCTCCCTCCTCCTTATAATAATGTGACGCTCTAAGTCCTCTCTGAAGCATTTCCAGAGCCTCATATTAATGCTATTAAAGTAAACGACAATGCTGACTGATAACTTTAATTAAAATTAGTTGGTAGGTATGATTATGTTCTTGTGATTGGCGACATGTCTGAGAAGAGATAAGAGCTCATTGGCTTTGCGTTAATTGCATAATTAACAAGGCGTACACTTTTCACTCTTTCTTGACAGCATGACCCTTTAGCAAATCGCCGAGACGTCCACCTCTTTTACCCCCCTTCCCGTCCCTTCCCTCTTCCTCCTCCACCCAGACAGGACAGTAAATCATCTCCAGTTCCGGCAATGGTTGAGGGGTGAGGGATTTGTTTGCGATTGCAAGAAAGACGAGGAGTGATAAGGAGAAACATAGGCATAATGCTAGTCAGATGTCGCCTGATATCCACGAAATGCTGGAATGGATGACTTTATTTATGAGCTGTTCTGCAGTCTAGGAGTTAAAAGAAAGTGGACGTCCAAAGGTGAGATGTTAGCAAGGGTATTAAGTTTCTGTTTTCAGATGTGCGGAACATCGAGACACCTCAGAAACCCTAAATTATTCCTTTTGCAATCAGTAAAGTGAATGACTAGCCAACTAATTAACTGAAGGGAGTTGATGGCACTGCCAAAAATGGTGTGCAAACGCATTTTGTTTAGTTTAGAAACCAGTAATTTGGACATGCAGTTGATTGCTAATAATGATATCATAAACATCATCGTGGCGGCAGGATCTTGCGAACACTCTTATTAAAGGTACCGCAATACCGAATGTCTCAATGCAAATCCGCGCTGGGACTGCCTAGCGTCTGAACTCAATCACAGCACCGAAACGTTGAATGCCCATCTCTAGCCCATCCTCGAGGGGAGAATTTGTTGTCAACCCCTTTATTCTCACTTTAAGTTGCCACCTGCTCCTGCTCACTCCGACATCATCAGTCCAGGTTCCTTACTCAGACGGGTGACAACGTCTCCTTAATTGGAATTCAGTAGTGGTTTCGCTCAAATATGTACCTCTTGTAAGAGAGCGCAGATTGAGGACGCCATCATCACCGCCCTTCCATTTAAACGTATGAGCCAAGTGTATCATCGGTTAGTAGGAAAGTGTTAAATGCCTTCCTATGGCAATTTAGCCTTACTGATCAATCTCCTCACACAGAACCTCCATGACCACCAGTTAACTGTTAAGCCAATCACATAACTGCGCCGATCAGCATTTTTTAATTGTAGGATTCCCTCACAAGGAGTAGCAAAGAGCCACCCTCTCGTCGGATGGCATTCCATACACTAAAAATGCATCACAACGCGGCGGGCCAATTTGGGTTTCTCAAGCGCTGTAATGCCATAATATTGCTGTGAGGCAAATACTGCAACAGAGACCTTCAAGCAATAACCCTATGATAATTGACCTATCAATGACTGCATTTGTAGTGGGATGAGGACGTCTACTTTGGGGGTGTAGTGTCTCAATCTACTGAAAACGTCGTCGTGAGTAGTATGATAATGTTAGTCTCAAACCGTTCCTGTAGGAAAGTATCGATCTCATGAATACAAGTATCCGAGTACCGATGCAAAACTTTCGAATAAGCAATTATTTTCTCCCTCTAACACCTATTTATATCACTTTTTAATCCAACAATCCATTTCGTCACGCAATCCGCATTGCTCGTCCCGTAAAAGCGGTTTTACTTTGGCATTTCTTATGCCAAAAGATTTTTAAGAAATGCAGAAATATTTGATTTGTGCAAGAGAATGTCTGCATAGTGATGCAATATATGCAATTTATCAAAACGTCTTCATTTATCTGTTCCACACTGCTACTTCATTTTAAAAAGAGGCAGCTCTTGTCCCACTTAACAACTGACTACGCCATCGGTTCATAAATAAATAATTTAGCAATCGGTTGTTCTAGTATCCAGGGGCATTTGTAATAAAAGTATGCTTTACGACAGATTGAATGTCAGAATGTGTGTCTACACACCAGCCAACTCAAGTGTAATTCGGTCACGCAGGAGTGAATGTCCACTCAGTAGAATTAAAACAAAGAGGGGGAAAAAAATGCAATTCAGGCAGTCTCATATTTTAAACACAGTGTTAGTGCACAACTCAGACTGCGCTTCATAAAGCCGTCATGCGATCAGCGCTTCCAGCACCATTCTTGGCGAGGAATGGAGAATGCAAAGGAAAAGAACAATAAATGCCTTTTTAACTACGCCAATTTAATACACAAATGAGAAATGTCCACAACCAGACCTTCCTCTCCGCTCACCACACATTTACAGTCGACAAAAGGAGGAGAACGGTGCCACCTCTTGGTAGTGGATGTAAAGGTGTTCAGTGACAGTAAACGTTAATCTTTGCACATTTGCCTTACCGAATAAAGTGATTTGTCAAACGCACAGACAGATTTTCACTTTTGCTTGGCTAGACAGTGTCAACAAAATAACCTACTTGTGTGTTTTTTGTGAAAAACAGGCAAAATTTCGTGTCATACAAAGTGGAACCTGTGGAAGGTGCTAGGCTGTACCGGTCCTGAGTGAAAGCCACGCATTTTAATTGCAATTAACAATTGCATTCGCGTAAGAAAACAATTAAACCCATAAGTTGTCTTGCAGCCCTGAAGGGATCGGTGTGAGGAAAGCAGAGCATCTCCTCGCCACAAAAGAGTCAGCAGGCGAATTCGGAGTTTGGTAGTGGTAACAAAGAAGAATTGACGATGGAATGGCTAATGTTAGAGGAAAAAAGAGACCAAATTTATAATAGATTTTGTAGAGAGGAGAATGTGTTCATAGAATTCGGTCTTATGAAATAGATGTTAAAGAAGCAAAAGAGGTCTCAATGCATTTAAAATAAATGAAAGTGGTTGAAATTCCACCTTCTAGGATCCTTAAAGAGATTCAGTAACTAAACTGCTTCAAATATGAAGCAGAAATAATTCCGACATTTTGGGGAAATGCATTTCCTATTCGCTTACTGACAGCCTCATACATCCAACTGAATGGCAGACAGACCGACAGACTGCCTCACTGGCTGACCGAGTGAATGAGGCAACGCGGACTACACCACAAATCAAACCACCTCTCAAACCCTCCTTCCATCGCTTCACTTATTGCAAAAGTGCCTACCGTGACAACTCACCTTTCACGCCTCGCTTGACACACACTCAACCACGCACTCGTGTTGGATGTCCATGACAAGTTGTCGAGGCGAGTTGACCACATCTGCCCATTTGTCTGACCTAGCACCCTCCATCTCAGGTCATCTCATTCGACGACACTTCACCGTTGTCACACACGCCACCACGCTGCCGCCTCCGCCTCACCTTACCGACAGACATGGTAGTCACAGACAATGCTATCACCACCACCACCACCACCACCACCACCACCACCACCACCACCACCACC